CTTCCTGAAATGGCCCCTGGTGATCTTCAGCCCAGGAGTCCACAGGCTGTTGCTCACACTGTTGCTCACATCAGAGGTATCAGCCCTTCCTCTTCCCCATCTCAACCCCAAATCTGAATTCCAAATGTTATTACTTCGTGCGCGGTCTCACAAGGAGATAGGTGACGACATTCAGTGAAATCGGATTACCGGCAAGTTAAATGATCCCAAGCTGGAGCTCAGCCCGAGGATTTTCAAGCTGTGCAGGCTTCCCTCGGTCATTTTCTGTGAGAAGAGGTAAATATTGCCAGGGTAAATATTGCCAGGCTGCCTAGAGATGTCAGTCAAATGTTGTGACAAATCCGAACGCAGCCAAGAAGGAATTACAAGGTGCAGAAGAGATAAAACTGTCTTAGGGAATTAATCCCAGCACAAGAGCACCTCCTACTTTATGTTTTCCTCTCCTTTGTCCACTTTACTTCTAAACTGCAGAAGAAATGGGGTGTTTGTACCCTTTGGGGAATCACAAAAACATTTTGAGGTTTCTCCAACAAGGAAATCTTGTGTCATGTGGAGTCCTCCTCCTCCTGAGAGGGTTTCAGCCCAACTGACTTGCATGCCTTGAAACCACTGACTCCCTGTGCTCTTCTTTCAGAGCCTTACATAAATATTTGGCTGGAACACACAGACCTAGGTAAATGTGAACCTGTGAGCAGCCACATCAATGTCAGAATTAAAAAACACACTTGACTCACTTAAGCCCATGAGATTTTAAATAATCATAATGTCAGTAATACATTTTAAAGCAAATTCTTATTTTTGGCTCCCACTTCTCAGACAGATGTGCAGGCCATCTCCAAAGGGTTTCCCTTCACCTCTGAGACATTCATGTTTGGAGTTGAAAGCAAAACCCTCTACATAATTTCCTGGCTCTGTGGTTTTGGTATTTAGGAAAACCTCCAGAGCTGGGCTACGGGTGAAAAAGCTCCTGGTTAGCAATGCTGCATGTCTTTCTTGGGGTGTTAATGACTGTTTCCATCTTTCTGGCAAACACTGATGCCTTTTTGACACTCCCAGAAAGTGCCCAGTTTCCCAAATTTGGGTTTTTTCCTGACCTTTCCCCCAGCTGATGGTTGGGATGTACTTTACCAGACACCCAGCTTTTAAAGCAGTCATGCTAAATATCCCTTTCTTTTTGCCATCAGCTGTTCATAATTCACAGCCTTGGTTTGACACCCTCAGTAATTATCCCCTTTCCAGCAGAGGCAGATTTGGAGCTGGCACAAGTGGGAAGGTGCCTGTACCCTGCAAAGCAGCAGGAATAGTGGGAGACCTTCCTGCTGCCCTCCTGCAAAAGGAGGCTCAGCTCCATGTTTCTGGAAGTTTCCAAGAAGTGGGGGCCATGCTGTTGTTTCAGCCACCATGGTAATTGCCAGCAGCCAAGGTTTGAGGAAACAGAAGAGTTACGTCCAACAGGTCTGCTGAGAAGTCACAAAACTCCCTGTGTGAGCGCCAAGCTGCCTTTTGTGATAATTAAGAGAAAGCCTCCATCCCAAACCAGCAATCTAGAGGGACCCAGATGCTCAGGGGGTGAGGCTCCCTCGTCTTTGCCCAAGACCAAAGGACCAGCACAGCCCAGATCTGCTGATGGGACCAACCAGACAGAATTCTTCTCCTAACTCTCTTTAGTTGCAAACATCACACAATAAAACCAAATCCAGCCTGACTTTTTAGTGGATTTCAGACTGTTCTGTTCTGTTTTCCTTAGGCTGCTGCCAAGGGAGCTCTGTTCTTATCTGTTATTCCCACAGCCCTCAGTTAGAGAGGAGACCCAGCACTCTTGGGGAAAGCCCCATCTCCCAGGCAATGAGCCACAGGATATTTTTGCAGTGTTTTATGGGCACTGGTGCCATAAACAGAGAGTTTGAGGAGCTCAGCATCACCTCCCTCCTCTCTATTCCAGAGTCTCTGTTCTACTGGAGCAGCCCAGGTTTTTCCTTGGGCTGTCTTGGCTTGATAGTTAACACCAAAAACTGGGAGAGTGTGTGTGTGAATGGGATCTGTTATTAAAAATACTCCTCAGGGGGAGAAGGAACAGCCACTCTGATACTGGCAGAATTAATAATATGTACCAACACTTTCATTCGTTTATTGCAACTTGAGTTTCACAGTTTTGGCTGCTGTGTAGTGCACAGTTGTAGCAAGAAGAGGTGAGGCTGGGCTGAGGCACCTGGAAAATCTCTCATAATGATAAATATAAATTTATGGGTTTTGTGTTCAATGTTTAGTTATTTTTATATTAATTTAATTATTTTAATTTTTAGATTTTTAAGATTTTTTTAAGTTGTACATTACATTGGTTAGAGTTTGTGCAGATTTTTATTTTTATATTTCTTTTCTCTTTTTGTACTAAAATTTTATTAACAGACCCAGCAGTTAAATCAGGACAAGAAACCTTTTCTGGGGACAACATGCAAAGCAGGGATGGCTGAGCCAGCAAACCCAAGCATGTCCTCATCTTCTGAAGGTGAGCTTGCAACAAGAATAAAGTCCACCTTTAACTGAAAGCATCAAGAGAACGGTGTTTGAAAAGTCCTTTTTGGAGTGAAAGTTGTCTTTACCCACTCTGGGTCCAGTCTGGGAAGGTTCCTGGCTTGGCTGGATCCAGCAGAGCCAAGAGGAGGATTCAGTGCAAAGCCCTGAGCTTATTTTCAATCTCCTCCCAGCTGCAGTGAGCACTCCTTGCCTGAACACCACAAAACAATTTCAGTGCCTCAACATAAAGCAATGCCAAGATTTGATCATAATTTTGTCCTTCATGCTTTGGGTACATGGCTTCCTTTGAGACATTCTCAAATAGGTAGAAATTTTTTCCGGAAAACATCCTGTGAAAATGCACATTCTCTGGGGGGAAGAGAAGGGTCAGTGTTTGTGTGCAGAAGGTGATCCCAAATTAATCCCACCTCCAGATGAAAACTCCAAATAAACCCCCAGCCCTGCTGAGGATCCCCAAATGAACCCTATATGGATGAAAATCCTCAAGTGATCCACACCTGGATATGAATCTGAAATCAAACCCCAAACCCCCATCCAGATGAAAATCCCAAATCCGCCCCCATGTGCTCATCCTGATAAAACCAACACATTTTTGCCATGCAGGTAGGAATCCCAAAGAGATCCCCAAGTCAGCATCCAAACAAAAATCCTAAATCCTTGTTCATGTGAGTGGGAATCCAAAATCAATTTACAAACCACCATCCAGATTAAAACTCCCAATCTCCCACAAGTTTTCACCATGATAAAAACCCAAAATCCACCCTCAGCTCCCCCAATCACTCCTATGATCCACTCAAATCATCCTCACTCCTCTCATTCCAATAAAAACCAACCCCAAATCTACCCCAACATTCCAAATCCAATGAAAACCCAAATCCTCCCACATTGATGGGAATGACAAATCCCCCCTCAAACAGCCCACCCTGACAAAAACCCCAAATCTTTCCAAAGTCTTCATCCTGATGAATATTCCAAACACCCCCCATGCAGGCAGGAATCCCACCACCCCCCAAGCCCCCATCCCAATGGAAATCCCAAATCCAGTCCTAAATCCAACGAAACCCCCAAATCTCCCCATGTAGTTGAGAATCCCAAATCCCTTCCCCACATTACCACAAATCCTCACCTCAATGAAACACCAAAATCCTCCCCAACCCTCCAACTCTAACAAAACCCCATGCAGCTGAGAATCCCAAATCCCAACCCCACATCCCTATCCCAGTGAAATCCTCAAACTTCCCCATTCAGTTGACAACCCCAAATCCCAATCCAAACAAAACCCCTCAGCCTTCTCTAACCTCCTAATTCCAAAGAAACACCCAAATCCCCCTAAAGCCCCTCTCCAACTAAACCCCTAAACCCTTTTACAACCTCCCAACTCAAACGAAACCCCCAAATCCCTCCATGCAGTTGGGAACCCCAAATACCAATAAAAACCCCTAAACCTTCTCCAAACTTCCAACCCCAACAAAACTATCAGATTCCTCCCTGCAGTTGAGAACCCCAAATCCCCCATATCTCTATCCTAAAGAACCCCAAGCCCTCTCCAACCTCCCAATTCCAATGAAACCCCTAAATTCTCTCCAACCTCCCAAGTCCAATGAAATACCCAAATCCCTCCATGAAGTTGAAAGCCCCAAACCCCATCTTCCATTCAGCCACCCTAACAAACCCCTTAAAACCCTCTCTAACCTCCCAAATCCAATCCCTCCATGAAGTTGAGAACCCCCAAACTCCCCCTCCCTTACCTCCATCCTAACAAATCCATTAAACCCTCTCCAACATCCCAACTCTAACAAAACACCCAAATCCCTCCATGAGGTTGAGAACTCTGAACTCCTCCCTCACAATTCCATGCTAACAACCCCTTAAATGCTCTCCAACCTCCCACTTCCAATGAAATCTCCCAAATTCCTCCATGAAGTTGAGGAGTCCAAATCTCCCCCAGACCTCCCATCCCCTCCGCAGGTGCATCCTGTGCTCCTTGCTGCCCATCCCCATCCCCATCCCCATCAATCCCCATCCCAATCCCCATCCCCATCCATCCCCATCTCCATCCCCATCCCCATCTATCCCCATCCCCATCTATCCCCATCCTCATCCCCAGCCCCATCCCCATCGTCATCAATCCCCATCCCCATTCCCATCCCCATCCATCCCCATCCCCATGCCCATCCCCATCCCCATGCCCATGCCCATCCACCCCCATCCCCACCTCCATTACCATCCATCCCCATCCCCATCAATCCCATCCCCATTCCCGTCCCCATCCATCTCCATCCCCATCCCGGCGCTCTCTCCCCCCGCGCCGGGGGCGGAGGCGGGGGCGGTCCGGGGCCGTCCTGCGCCTCCCCCGGCGGCGGGGGAAGGGGGGGCCGGTGCCGGGGCCGTGGCCGGGGCCGGGGCCGGGGGAGGGAGGGCATCGCCCGCCCGCCCCGCCGGGAGAGAGCGCCGGGAGCCGCGCCGGGACGGCCGCGCCGAGGCACCATGCGGGCTGCGGGGCTGCTGCCGCTGCTGCCGCTGCTGCTGCTGCTGCTCGGTGAGTGCCGCCCTCCTCTGCCCGTGCCTTCTCCCCCGCCCCGAGCATCCCTCGCCTTCTCGCCGCGCTCCGCTTTTCCCGTTACTGTTGGCGAGTTTGGCGGAGCAGCAGCCGGGGGACGCGGGGCGCGCACCCGCAGCCCCAGCGCGGCTTTATCGCGGCTCTTATCGGCACAGCCAGCGCAACTCGGAGCCGCAGTGCTGCTCGGGTCTGCGGGGGGATGAGCTCCAGCTCTGCCCTCTCGCATCCCGCTCCGGGGCTCTGGGGAGAGCCGAGCTTCCCACGCTCGGGTCCCATCTTTTGGGATCCCATCGAGCCGGGGGGATTTTGGGCTGTTCGCGCAGCGGTCCAGGTGCAGCACCCGCGGAACGGGAGGCGGAGATGGCGCGGAGAGGAGCGGGGAATGCTGCTGGAGCCAGCGATTCCCGGGTGGGATTGATGGTGGAGTTTGGGAAAAGGTGGAACTGAGGGTTCTTGGGGAGGTTTGTGAGTGGAAACAGTTCCTGGGGTGCTGCGGTAGTGTTGGGGCTCGCAGTGGGAGTTGTGGTGCTCTGGTAGGGTGTTTTGGTGGATAACTGGCCATAAACCACATGGAAAAGTAGCAGGGAAAGGAAAGGCACTGATGCTTTCCAGAGTGAATAAAGGTAGGGAGGAGTGGGGCATTTCTTCCTTGTAATCAGGCAAGGAGAGGGAGGTGCAAAAAAACCATAAAATAAAATAATAAAATGAAATATTAAAATAAAATAATTGAGTGAAATGAAAAAAATGAAAAAATAATAGAATAAAATAAAATATAAAATGAAATAAAATAAAATAAAATAAAATAAAATAAAATAAAATAATGAAATCGTGCTCCAACTCCCGCCTCCCAGAAGAGCCTCTGCAGAGCTGAATGTGCTTTTATTCAAGGTAACAAAAGCTGGGGGATGCTCCGGAGGTAAAAGCACAAGTGGAGGCAGGGCCCTGGGGATTTAACTCTGGGGTGAATTCCCACAGCTCTGGATGAAATCTCTCCCTGCTCCTTGTTTTCTCCTGTTCCTCTTGGGACTCAAGGGGTTTGGGGGGCAGGCAGGTGTAAACCTCTCTCTGTCCCTGATGCCAACATGGGCTTTAAAAGAGATTTCTCTTCCCATTAAGACTCACGAAGCCCTGAGCATCATTACTACAGGCATAAAGTAGGAGCTGTTCATGCAATTTTTCTTGTGCTGGCCAGAATTTAGCTGAGTTTAGCTGACTTTGCCTTCTCAGAAGGTTTTGTTCTGTTTTCCGAAATGAGGTGATAAATACACTGGGATTGGGGCAAAACAGGCTTGTAGTGTGTGGACCTGTTTCTATAACACTCTGAAGTGATCCCATTACATCTTTCTTAAAAATTAATTGATTAAATCCTTCAAAACAGCGTTTTCTGCCATTCCTTGCTGCTCTTAAATTTTGATATAAGCTCCTGAGAGAGGCTTTTATGTTGCTCCCTGGGTATTGGAACCAGGATTTTCATCCTTAGGGGCCAAGATAGACATCCCTCTTTGCTGAGTTTTGCTCAGAGTCCCAGCAGTGCTTAACTCCAAAACTGGAATCTGCGGTGATTATCTGAGTTCCTCAAAGCCTAAAATTCATCTATTTTTCCCCTTCCTCCTTAGATGGGAAGAAGTAGGGTTTGTAAGTTGAGCTGTAATATTTTGGGTGTCTTAGGAAATAATGACTGGGATGGAACCTAATGATTTGGATGTGAAATGAGAGTTGGGGATTTCAGAGCTGCTTTTTGGAAGGTGACTTCTGTGTGTGGGGCAGAGCAGAACCAGCCCAAGGTTGATGAAGTTTTTAAAAGCAGCTCTCTGGCATACAGCAATTTCCTTAGAAATACTGATTTCCAGGCTTGTACATCCCAATCCTCTGATTCTGCAGAGATTCCTCTTTATATCCTCGCTTAAATCAGAAGAAAATCAGCTTTAGACAAGGCCGAGTCAGTGTGTGCAAGAGATGCAGCAAATGTGGCATTAGGCAAAAACATCTTTAAATTCCACCAGCTGGAGAGAGGCTCAGAGTTACCCATTACAGCATCTTCATGGGATATTTTATTTTATTTATTCTTTCTCCACACTGCATCTTATATTACCACCAAAATTGCATCAGGAAGGGACAAAAAATGCTTATTATTCTCAGGGGATGCAAAAGAGCCGCAGCTCAAACCTGTCCTGGGGGCAAAAAAGGGCAGGAAGGGTTTTTACCAGAGATCAAGCACCGGGCTCAAAGCAAGGCACAGATTGATGGGTTTGGAACCCTTGTTGCCAAAACACAGCTTTTCATTATTCCCAAAGCTGAATTCCCAGGCCACCTCCCCAGCACTGAGAGTTCCCTGGTACTGGGAGTTCGTGTTTGTGGATGAGCTGTCAGAGGCGTGCGTTTAAAAAAACAAACATTTTACCCATTGAATACTAATCCTGACACGGGCAGGAGGAGGCAATTGGGGCCATGTCCCCAGAGGAGAAAAAAAATGTTTAACCAGAGGGGGTTTTAGAATCAGCGTCAAAGCAGAGAGACTCTTGTGGGATATTTTGTCTCGGAGGAACTTTGATAAGAGTTTTGCAAGGTTTTGCCATTTTAGCCGTGCAAAGCCTTGGATTCCCTGCACAGACACAGAAACACCACCCCGAGGGCTGTTTGGGAGGCTTAATTAAAGGATTGTTTGTAAATCACTTGAAGATTCCTGGATGAAAGGAACTGGAGCCGTGCAATATACTGATTTAATTCCTGGGAGTCGCTCTAAAGGCTTGTGATGGGGGATGATCATTCATGCTGGTGGATGGAAATATCTGCTCCCAGCATTTGCAGGGAGGCTGGGGTAGCACTTTGGGTATGGTTTTCCCTATAAAACGTGTATTTTGTCTCCCTGTCTGCACCTCTATAAGGTCTAAACCCACCAGCATGAGCTCTGGGGTGCTTTTTGGGGACGTAATTTAGAGACAGTGAGGGTCCCTCTGGCTGTGCCCCATTATCCTGGGGGTTTTATCACTCTATAAGAGCAGAGAGGAGCTGTTGGGGTTTAGGCACCCTAAATGTTACCCCTTTATCTGTGATGCTGCTCTGGGTGGCCCCTTTGCTGTGTTCCCAAGGACTCACCACACCAGTGGTAAAAGCACAAGTGGAGGCAGGGCCCTGGGGATTTAACTCTGGGGTGAATTCCCACAGCTCTGGCTGAAATCTCTGCCTGCTCCTTGTTTTTTCCTGTTCCTCTTGGGACTCACAGGGTTTTGGGGGCAGGCAGGTATAAACCTCTCTCTGTCCCTGATGCCAGCATGGGCTTTAAAGGAGATTTCTCTTCCCATTAAGACTCACGAAGTCCTGCGCATCATTATTACAGGCATAAAGTAGGAGCTGGTCATGCAATTTTTCTTGTGCTGGCCAGAATTTAGCTGAGTTTAGCTGACTTTGCTTTCTCAGAAGGTTTTGTTCTGTTTTCCGCAATGAGGTGATAAATACATATCATAGGGATAGGGACAAAACAGGCATGTTATAGGAGTGGGGACCTGTTTCTATAACACTCTGAAGTGATCCTGTTACATCTTTCTCTAAAATTAATTGATTAAATCCTTCAAAACAGCATTTTCCACCATTCCTTGCTGCTCTTAAATTTTGAAATAAGCTCTTTAGAGATGCTTTTATGTTGCTCCCTGGATATTAGAACAGTGAGTGTGTACAAGAGATGCAGCAAATGAGGCAAAAACACCTTTAAATTCCACCATTAAATTCCACCCAGAACCCCCTGAAGCCCTGCAGAGCCAGGGAAGGGGTGAGTGGGGTTTTATCCTTACAGGGTGGACATGAGGTCCTGCGACGGTGTTCACAGGGGTCCCAGGATGAGGGAAGAGATGAGGATCTGACTCCATGTTTCAGAAGGCTGATTTATTATTTTATGATATATATTAGATTAAAACTATGCTAAAAGAATAGAAGAAAGGATTTCATCAGAAGGCTGGCTAAGAATAGAAAAAGAAAGAATGATAACAAAGGTTTGTGGCTCAAACAGAGAGTCTGAGCCAGCTGACTGTGATTGGCCATTAATTACAAACATCCAACATGGGCCAATCCCAGACGCACCTGTTGCATTCCACAGCAGCAGATAATCACTGTTTACATTTTGTTCCTGAGGCCTCCTGGCTTCTCAGGAGGAAAAATCCCAAGGAAAGGACTTTTCAGAAAATACGTCTGTGACAAGGTCCTGCTGTAACATCTGCCTGTGCTACAGGGGCTCAATCCCCAAGCTCAGGTGCCTTCAGCAGCTTCATCTCCAGGTGCTCCAGGCAGGATGATGCCTGTAGCAAACCCACCTGTGGATGGGCAGGAATTCCTCCCTCCCAGGCAGGATGATGCCCATCCAGTAGCAAACCCACCTGAGGATGGGCAGGAATTCCTCCCTCCCCACTGCTGAGTAGTGACACTCAGAAACGTGCAGGTTGTGATCCTGAGCATGCACCCGACCTGCAGTGCTGTTCCCAGCCTGACACCACCCCTGCACCACCAGGAGCCACCCCCAGAGCAGCACGGGAGGGTTTGAGCCCTGCAGGAATCCGGGTGGCCCGGTTGGGTCCGTTCCCCGTGTGCAGGCATGGGAAATCTCAGCAGCCTCTGCGGAGCTTTCACACGCTCCTGGCAGCTTCCTGCTCCTCAGCCTGTTTACGTGCTCAGCCCCTTCCACCACTGGCCCATCTCCACCTAAGGATGTTGTTTCTGAATTCTTGCAATGCCTGCCCTTTCCTTCACACAGAGGTCCTGAGCAAACCTTGCTGCCTTTTTTTTTTTTTTTGCTATTTTTTCTCTCTCTCCTTTCCCACTCTCTAAGCAACGCACACACAAAGTCATCTGGCATTTCTTGTTCTCCAGCTACCTGTGCTCAGTCCTTTGCCACCCCCAGGGCTTTGCCAAATACTCCATGTTGCAGAGAGCAGTTCCTTTAGGCTGGGAATTGCCAAACAAATCCATGAAGTGTTTCACTTGCAGTTTGT